AAATATTTATTTATATTTATCATAAATATTACATAAAATATTTAGAGTCTATATTTTAATAATATTTCGAATAAAGTTTTATATAAAATACGTATGTAATATTTATACAACATTAAAAATGAATATTAATAAATATTTATCATAAATATTCTGTGCTGTCAGATGGGCGTCTTCTTATGTCCCGACTTTAGATTTTGCGTTATTTGAATAGAGTCGAATTGATTATACCTATTCAGCATTTTCCTTTATCTTTGAAACGAAGGCTATGTTCCAAAATTGACTGCCTGTACTGAAAATCTATAATGCATGTAACATAAACTGTAGAATTTTTAGCACTGGCAGTAAATTTGGAACACAGCCGAGGAATAGCATCATTATTACGTGCACCGATCTTTCTCCCGACAATAATAAAATCTTATCTCTATAAGAGCGCATCCTCTGATAACGCGGATTCACACCGGCTTATAGACCCACGTAGGCGGACTTTGAACATTGATTCCACGATTGTCGTTCGGTAGACTAAGAACGCGAATATCAGCGAATACGAGTGGAGTGAAGGTTTTGTCTTATCGTGACGCGACGCGACGCGATGCAACGCGACGACACGCGCCGACGCCGTGGCGTCCAGCGTCTACGCGCGCGCGAACAAAGGCGCGCGTAGAATCGAACGTCACGAAGTTGTCTGCCAGTAGGTTGGGATTGTTGGGAAGGAGTGCGCGTGTAGTGGATAAAGGCGCGTTTGCAGAATCGGACGACGCCAAGTAAGTTGCGTGCCAGTCGATCGGGCAATAGGAAAGCGTGTGGAAGAAATGTGAAACGCCCTCGTGCGCGGCGAAAACTCGACGCGGAGATCCTCAGCGAGAAAAGTGCGACGCTGATTCACCATGTCTGGCCACACCGAAATGATGATGAGATTTGTAGAAAGGACGCGCGATCCGCAACAGTGCGCGAACGACGCGCAAGTCAACAGATCGCTCTGTCTGCTCTTTGAGAATGTATCGTACAGCGTACAGAAAAGGATCTTGTCAAAAGGTAAAACGATGATATTCGTTATAAAATCGCATGTATTATTATTAAGAATAATAATAATAAAAATAATAATTAATAAATCATTACAATACATACGACATAATTCGATTAGAGGTATATGTGTCATTAAGATAAGAAAAGAGATCAGAAAAGGGAGAGATATATTATATAAATATAATAAATATAACATTATAATTATAAAAATATTATTAATTAACTTAATGTTTTATATTATACATGCAGTTGAATCTAATTTTTTGACAATACAACTTTTCTAAACAAAATATAACTGATTGAGTAATGATTGATTGATTATAAGTATTTTATAGAGATGATGTAATTGAGTATACAAATATCACTTCAGCATAATAAAAGTCATAATTTACATTAAAA